AATCAGCAGGTCCTCACTAGGTGTCCTGTACGAGCTCACCATCAGCTTAGTACCATTCGGTACCCCTATCGAGCGTAACTGCATTCTTTTACAAGTTCCTGCCAACTTACACTTCTCACCTTGCTGACTCCTGCAGACCCTTGTCAAGTGTAAACGAAGCCCAGGCTAGAGGGAGGGGTGGTAGCTATCCGTGGTTTTGATTGATTCCTGGGAAGGCACATGATAAATAGTGCCATTTTTCGCGATACCACATCCAGGGCACGTCCTGCCGCTGGGAAAATTTTTTCGAAAAAAGAACTCTTTCGAAATGCTCGCCTCTTCCTTCCGTTCTGCCCAACTTTCTTTCTATTTCCTACCACTTTTCCATAATTTTTTCCCGACAACCTTACACTTTTACCTCTATCTCTCCGAATAACTGCTGCTGAGCGGAAGGGGGAGGGGGAAGTACAGCTCTTTTCGAACAGGAGAAAACTGGAAAAAATCAGCAACCGAAGAAAATACTTCTCAAATGCGAATATGACTCCTCCTTCCTTCTGAGACCAAATCGCGCCCCCCCCCGCGCTCGCTCGGATGTCCCGGGTTACGTGTGCTCTGACTTTCAACTCGTTTTTGTTCACCTATTTATTCATGCCTGACTTAAAAGGTCCGGAATATGATCGTCGAACTGCCGGCTGGCAAACTCGGAGCTTTGGTTAACGACTCCGTTTTTCATTACCACTCAAATAAACGAGATCTGCACTTACTGCTCTTCATAATTGCCCCCCGCCCCATCACAAACGATCTACGCAGACGAGCGATTATGGGAAACTGGGCTAAAAAGGTCCTCTTCTTTCATGGTCTGTTTACATCATCGTTGTGGAATCCACATGAGTAGAGGGGCAGGGGCCTTATTGGGCTCATAAAGGGTTTTTCGATTGCTGATTCTCTCTTCAGGCGCTGTGTTATTCTCTTGGTGGGCCATGGTTTTACTAGTTTCGGTGACTGCTGGGGGTTTATTAATTTTGGGGGGACGTCGGTTTTTGTTGAATACATTACGTTAGCTTTCAAATTCTCTCAATCGCTATGTCCCCCCCCTCTCCTTTAACGGCCACAATCATCCTATCAAATTTTTCCAAAAACTTGCCGAGAAGAGGGGGGGGACAAGTGAAACGGAAGAAAACAACGGTTTTTTGGAACCTAACACGGCCTCCTTGCCCAGCAGCCATACATCACCCCTCTATTGCAAATTACGTACCGGCCGCTGTGTGATGGTTGGAATTATTGCTCTCTGCCTTCCCCGTTCGTCGATTTTTAGGCGGAAGCTGACTGAAGGAGATTCCTCTTCCCCCACACCTCATAGTAGTTCACTTCCACTGAACATTTTGTGTTGATTGCCTGCTGGCATGTCATCACCTTGAGGAAATTTTTCTGAATACGTCTCTTCCCCCCACCCCATTGCTCTCCTGCTACTACCCCCCCCCCTCCCAGCTTTCTTTCGCAGCCACAACGATCTCGATCTTATCGCACTTTCTTGGAAATCTACTGCGAAGAAGAGGGGTCATAGCACACGAGAAAGGTACAACCAACAAAAAACCAACGACTCTTCCCAGAGCAAATACGACCCGGTAGCCAAGACGTCCGCTCCTCCTCCGTTATATGAACTTCACAGTAGGTGTTATGCCCTGGTTTTAATGTCAGCTTTCTACCTTTCTGGACGTTTTGATTCCGAGGGCTGCGGGGAGAGGGTTGTTCTGAGGGAACTTTTTCCACTTCTCCTTGATGACTCATGTTCACTAAGCAATTTGAGCGATTCACCCACTCAGAAGTACTGGGTGACTCACAACAGATCCCTTAGAGCTCCTCCACCGAGGCGGTTTTTGCGTCAGTCAGTCGATTTTCTCCCACGTTTCAGCAATCAGCAAGCATTGTTCACTAGAACACCAGAGATCTGCAGTTGGATATTCCTCAATTTGCATTTGAGCTCCAGCGCCACTAACCTAAGAAGAGAGGGCGCTAGACGGCTCTGGTGGTGCAATGGCAAGTCCACCCATCAGGTAAGAGCGAGGTTCAGGCTCGAGTCCTGGCAAAGGCCAATTCGTTTGCCCATAACTCATCATCAAGAAGACATCATGTCTCTGATGGTGAGATAATTTATCCCCCTTTCGCGCCTTGAAGCCAAAGTGGAAAAAGCATGCCGAGGGACTCTATTAGTGCCTCGGAGGAAATTCCATCAAGGAGTATCATCCCCTCTGTAGAGCTCCTAATAATGCATTCGTGTATAGAAGGGTGTCTCGTCATTGAGTCGCCTGATCGTTCTGCCCCCTCCTTTTTTTCTTGAAACTTTGAACTTGTTTCCATGGGAGGTTCTTGTCTACCGAGCGCCTTTCAGACATTATGAGTAATGAAGGAGAAAATAGATTACCTTTGACGTTGGTAAACTTTCTTCTACAATCCGCCACTTACGCTGCTTCCATGAAAGTATCGCGAAAGATTTGAAATCGTGATTTGGGGCGCTGTTTGGCTTGGAAGGGGCATTTGCAGGTTGACTAGTTCCTCTCGTTTGCTTCATCTTAACACAGGTCTTACTTTGGCCAGACCTGTAAACTCCTATGAAACTACGAATCGGTTAGGATGTGCCATTTTTGTCACAGGAATTTGCAGGTCTTCACAATGTGGCCTGTGCTATGAGTGCCTTTTCGTGCTCATACCAAACCGAACTGCCCCCAATGAGCCTATACCGCGACTTGCAGTGGTCGATTGTTCTATAGGTCCTCCCAGTATGTTGTCCTCCCAGACAAGTTTCATTGCCGAGGGTCAGAAACCAGATCGGCTCGGGAAGAGCCCATTCAGAACCGTATCCAGAGGCCGTACGCATGGAAAAAGGAGCTACACCACATACCAACTTATTCGCTGGGGCGTTTCAGAGAGGGAGGGGTGCGACCCCAGTCCGTTCTTAATTAGTTATGGAAACTGGCAGGTGACCATAATTGGTGGAAGACTGCCTGGCACAGCGCCAAAGCCCACTCCTGACATCACTATCATGTGCAGGGAACGAGGCTGTACCTTCCCCCTACATGTATCATTCTGCATAAAAGCTATAGGTCAGCCATACCCTGTCCGAAAGCTTCTTAAGCGTTCCATTTGCATTCGGCAAGAG